AGAGAAAGGAGGAAGGCGGAGGACGACGAGGAACCAGGGGGGAGGCGGAGGAGGAGGAGGAGGAGGTGAACATCAGGAGGAGCAGGAGGAGATGGGGGCCCCCACATTCAGAGATTTAAGCCAGGCGTGCTGGAGGCCGGAGGAGCTGCAGGTAGGTGAAGAGGAAAGGGTAGGGAGGGGCACAAAGACTCCTGCTCCTCCTCGTTCTCATCCTCTTGTTCCCCCTCCTTTTCCAGAGCTTTCGCATGCTGTCGAGTCCTCGCTGGGCTTCGGGCCGAACGGTCTCTCGCACCCCTCTCGCCGACGACGTGTCGCCAGGTCGGCCTTCGCTTGGTACACCTGCTTCTCCTCTGGGGTCAAGTTTTTGTACTCGTCTCTGACCGCCTGGGACTTCATGATGTCCGGGAGGTTCGTAAGCAGATGGGTGTGTTTCATATTGTCTCTCTCGTTGATGTCCCGAATGTTCGCGAGCAGATCGGCGTCTCGTCCGGAAGACCCGTCTGGCTTGATGCCGTATTTCAAAATTCTTTCTCTTTCTCTTCCCTTGTTGCTGGGACTCCTCTGTCCTCTTGCTGCCGTGGCTGCTGCTCCTCCTCCTTTTCCTGCACTCTTCCTTCAACCCTAGGGTTATGCTATCCTGATCCTGCTATCCGAATCCCTCCCTCTTCTCCTTATCTGCCCCTCGTCCCCTCACTCCTCCTATTTTTCTCTAGCAACGGTGAGCAGCCCCAAGGCCCAAGACCCTGGACGTACCAATCGTCGTCATCGCGTTTGTCGTCGTGGTCGTCGTTGTCGTTGGGGCGTCAGCGCAATCGACCCGCCCCCTCCCGCCCGCTACGATGGCGACTAGCTCATTTGACGACAGCGGAAACGACGACGCGACGCGGGGGAGGGAAAGAGGGAAGAGGAGGAGGAGGAGGAGGAGGAGGAGGAGGAGGAGGACGACGAGTGAGGAGGAGGACGAGGAGGACAGATGAGGCGACAGAGAGGGACGCGGCAAGCAAAAACGCCGGCCTGGGCTTCGGCCCCAGAGATGTTGTCCAGCAGAGCCGCCGCAAGTTTCTCCTGAACGAAGGCGTGCCACGCGCTGTACTTCAACATGCGCTTCGGCTTGGGCCCTCGGGGCTCGGACCTGGAGTTGGACGTGTTGCCGCCGTTGTTGCGCTCAGATTTGGTTGGCATTGGCACCTGCTCTACAGCTCCGCGATGCGCCCGCAAAGATTGTGCTATGAACATGGCTGAAATCAGGCGCAGGTCTGCGCATTTCGACTGCAACGACATTGATTTGCATAGACGCCGCACTCTGCTCCATTTGCCTTCGATCCTGGAGATGCAGTTCTCCATCATTGACGCAAGTAGCATCAGCTCCCCCCTGCCCTCCGGACTCAGCACCTTCTCAGCGGTGTCGTAGGTGTCCAAGTACCCGGCAGATACAGGGTCCAGCAAGCACGGGCTGATCTTGAAGTTCTTAAGCGTTACCTCGATCTCGACAGGATCCGTCAGGGTCATCAGATCGAATAGCTTGAACGGGAATCCCTCTTGAGGGATCTCCAAGAGCTCGTGCATTGAGGCTGAGATCCTTGCAATAAGCCGAAAGCTCAAGCAACGAAACTCCGACGTCCGGAGACGCGGCGGGACCATGTCCCAGACATCGTCGCTTTGGCATAGTATAGCATGAATGCCTTGTGCGTCCGATGTGTAGTAGTCCTGATGCCTGAGGAGAACCTTATAGTCGCGAATCCCTTTCCGGGTCTGCTCCAGCTGCTGCTTTCGCTCCCAATGCAAAGACGCTGTTCTCAACATTTTCCGCATGCTGTCCACTTTGCCGTCCAAGGCGATCCTTGCTGGGGCACGTGCACTTCCTTTTCCCCCGCCCCTTGGCCCCTGGGTGACCTTGGCCAATGGCCTGGGCCCGGGCCGCTCGGCGGTTCGGGCGCGGGCCATGGGCCATGGCCATTGGTTTGCGGCAGAGTTCTGATTGCGCGCCAGCCAGTCCTGTGAGGAATAAGGGAGCTTAACACGCTGCCCTCTTCAAGCCAGTTGATGGATGATTTCATCCAGCGTGCATTCACCTCTGACGGATCGAAGGGCCGCAGGGAGGGCAAAAAAAGGGGGAGGACGGAGAGGAGGAGGAGGAGGAGGAGGAGGAGGAGAAGAAAGAGGAGAACGATGAGGAGGAGGATGGGGAAGAGGAAAGAGGAGTGGGGAGGAGGAGGAGCGGCGGAGCGGGGAGGTGGAGGAGGAGGAGGAGGAGGAGGAGGAGGAAAGGGGAGGAGGAGGCGGGAGAGGATTGGAGAGGATTGATATGTTACCCGACCACCTTTTGCCAGTCTTGGTCCGAGGCTGCAGCAGCGAATAACGCAGTGGCCTCCTCGATAGAAACGTCAGCAGCAACTTCCTCGGAGTCTCTGGCCATGACGGCAGCGGACGTTGCTGCCGCTGCTTCGGCCTTGGCAATCCGCTCCTCAATCAGCTTCAGATTGGGCTTGGCAAACCGGAGAAAGGCCCTGCTGAAGAGCGCGTGCGTAGATTCCAACAAAACCACAGCGTCTTCGACATCCTCGGAGCCCGTCCACTTGCCACGCGAGAAGACCTTGAAATTGCAACACATGTGTGGGATGAACTTCGTCCAGAACTTTTTGATGGTGTCATTCCGATTTCTGCAGCATCCTGGCTTGCAGTGATGGGTGACGCAAGGCCGCTGAATGTCACCATTACACAGGTCCCTGTACAACACAGCGGTCCATTTCCGTCTCAGCGGCGTCTGGGTCTGGCACCACCGTTGGATACATTTATTGCTGGCATCGATGGCTTCCTGAGGCGGTGGCGAGAAAGAAATCTCAAGCTCCTCGTCGATCAGCTCAGCCAGTGCCCTGCGAAACGAACGCGAGTGGCCAGCCTGGTTCAGGACCAAGTTCGCATTCAGGAGCCCAGTGATGCTGGATTTGACAAGGTCGGCTGCGTTCGTCGCGCAGGTGTTGCATTTGTGGATTTGGCATGTCATCCTGCATTGAAGAACATCTGGGTGGAGAACGCCATGGCACCGGTGTACTCGAGCATTCGCGCTCGCATCGTCAGTCGTGCAAATTCTGAGCTTCCTCTTGAAAACGTTGAGGTCTTCCAAAATCGGCGTTTTGGCAATTAGGCGATGGAGGCACTCCGAGAGGCACTCGGCTGTACCACGGTCGATGTGTTGCAGGTACGAACAGCTTGCAGATCGCACGCAAATGAGGTGCCCAGTGGTGCAGTCTTTCATGATCATCGCGTACTCATATTCTGCTTGGAAGAGCTTGGCAGTGCCGCGCCCAGACTCAACCTGGAGGATCCAAAAAACCATAAAAGGGAAGGAGGAGGAGGAGGAGGAGGAGGAGGAGGAGGATAAAGTAGGAGGGAGAGGGAGGAGGAGGAAGAGGAGGAGGAGGAGGAGGAGGAGGAGGAGGAGGAGGAGGAGAGAGCGGACGAGGGAGGAAGGGACAGTCCCCGGGGAGAGGGGGAATCTCTGGGAGGAGGAGTCCGCGGTAGAAGCACTGTGAGGGTGCAGGCGGGAGAAAAGACAGAAAGGAGGGAACAAGGGTTTACTACAGGGGCCCCCATTGAGCAACGCATGGGATGATTCACCCGGGCGTCCTTTATTACCATTGGTGATTCATCCCACAGCAGTTTCTCGATGAACACGATTGGCTTGGTCTCGTTCATGAGGCTCCGCTGGTGCAGCACCCGGATCATATTCTCCTAGGGTTTGGGGTTGGGTATTCTTCTCACTCCTCTGACCTCACCGCCACAGCCATCCTATATCCTCCCTTTCCGCCCTTATCGTCCTCCTCCTTCCTCCCCTCCTATACTTCCCCCCGTACCTCCTCCCAGTCTTCTCCATATGGCTCTCTCCCGTGCCTGTGTCGGCCCTGCCGTTGTTGGGCCCATGGGGTTCAGGGCCCAGGGAGCCCGTGAGCGGATCAGGGTTGAGAGGGAGGATTGAGACACGACGAGAATCGGAACGGAGCAAGGAAAATTGGCTACGCAGGCGGAGGGGACGGCCTTGACGAGCTAGCAGTTAGAAGAGGGAGGAGGAGGACGACGACGAGGAGGACGAGGAGGATGAGGAACTGCAGGAGGAGCAGGAGGAGGATGAGGAGGAGCACGACATGCACATGCACGAGCGGGGCCAGGAGCAGGAGTCGAGAAGCCAGAGGAGGAGGAGGAGGAGGTGCTGGAGGAGGAGCAGGAGGAGGAGGAGGAGGAGGAGGAGGGGAGGAAAATTAGAGGAAGAAGGAATATGGGTAGCGTGTCCTGTTGGACCGCCTCGTGCAAGACGATGCACTCCGCCGACACACGGCGGATGGGCTGCAGCTGCTTCCGGTGGAGGTCCGACACGCGCTCGATCGCGACGGTCGACGCCGTCGCGTTCGAAAGATGGCAGGGAGAGAGGTGCCGCTCGAGGAAGCGCGCCCTGGAATGCTGGTGCTCGCTGGCGCCTGCCTCCCCCAGCGGCCCCAGCGGCGGCGCTGTGGCGCCCCACGCGATCACCTGCGCTCCCAGGCCGAACTCCTCGGAGAACGGGACGAGCGCCTGCAGTGAAACCAAACGCAACCAGAAACAACATTACCATCCTCGTCCTTCTACCCTGCCTCCCCCGCGCCCCCCTCACATTCTACCTTGGGCCACGCGCTCTGCCAGTGCTCTCGTTCCCCCCTGCATTCCACGGCGTCCTCGTACATTCCACGGCGTCCTAACTTCATTCGCTCTCCCCCGTTTCTTCAATCCCTCGGCTCAGCGGTCATCGGAAGGCCCCCCCCATGCCCATCCCACCCCTGAGCGGGCGAGGCCGTCCGGGCAGGACGAGCAGACGAAGCGTGAGGGCGGAGGAATAGGACACACTAGGACCAGGAGGACGGACATGAGTCAGGAGGACGCCCCAGGAAGGATGGAGATGGAGGCGGAGGAGGACGACGAAAACGACGAAGAAGACGACGACGATGGCGACCCACGAGAGACGTTTCTTTTCATCCCTCACGGGCACCTTGCTGATAGTCAGCTCAGGGGTTGACAATGGCGTCCGCGGCGGTGGTTGCCACGGCTGCATCATCAAGCAGTCTTGGTGACCGTCCTGCTGGTGGTGCCCCTGCTCCTGCTGCTCCCGCTTGCAGTATCTGCCGTGGGTATCCCTCGCGCTGACCGTGCTGGGGCCAGCGGCCCTGGCCGCCCTGGCAGCTTCTGCGGCCTCCTTCTCGGCCACCCGCATGGCCTTGGGGCGACTCAGAGCTCCGAACGGCCTGCCCCTCTTGGGCCGGCCAGCCACGGGAGCCTCGGGGGGGCCCGCAACGGGCTCCATGGCGCGGCAGCCACCGCGCCCCGCCAGGGCCGCGGGCCGCGGCCCGCGGTTGTTGACGCACAAACAGCCGCGGATGATGACGATGATATCCCCCAAACACTCCTCGTGAGCATCCCCATGCTTCCCCATCTCCGACTCCTGACCCAGAGCCCAGGGCCCCAGGGTCTATCCTGATTCGCGTTATCGTCCCCATTATTCCTCCTCCTCCTCCTCCTCCTCCTCCTCCTCCTCCTCATCCTCCTCCTCACCACCATCATCATCATCATCATCATCATCACCATCATCATCATCATCATCATCATCATCATCATCATCATCATCATCATCGTCATCATCATCATCCCCGTCCTCCTCCGTAGCCTCCTTTTCCTCCTTCTCCTCCTGCCGCTTCCCTCCTCGCCTTCTGCTTCCCATGTTTTCTGCCTCCTGGGTCGCCCGAGTCTGGCACGCTCTGGGACCCCGGGGAAACTCCGACGGCCAGCTGGCGAGCCGCAACGGTCCGTCGCTGGACGAACCGACATCGACACCACGCAGACCGAAAAGAACGGGCACGGCGAAAGCGACAATTCCAGCACATGCGAATGGAGGACGAGATGAGGTGAGGGGCAGTGAGGGGAGGGCGGCAGAGGGGACCTGGGCCCCTGCACCTTGAAGGAAACCGTGGTGGAAACTGAACAAACCGCGACCGACCCCGATCGCCCCCCCCCGCTCGCGCAGCCTAATTCAATGTGAAACTATACAGTTTGTGTGCCAACCCGCCCAAAACAACCAACTGAATTCGAAGCTCGTTCCCCAACGTGCCCAAAACAGCTCATGTCAACCCGCAGCTCGTTCCTAACACGCCCAGCTCGATTGGCAGCTCGCTCCCCAACCCACGTGCCCCAGCCCGCACGGCCCACCTCAATTCACAACTCGTGACCCAGCCCACCAACAATTTGTCAACCCGATTCCGAACTCGACTCCCAACCCGCCCAAAAGTTCAGACTCGATGCGCAGCTCGTTCCTCAACCCGCCCAAACAAAAGAACACTCTGCGCAACCAATTCAGCAACATAAAACGCAACCAAAAAGTCAGCACCCAGCACGACGCAACCCAAAATCCAACACTAAACCTAACGCTTTACGTAACAGATTAATGTTTCGGCCAGAGAGGACGAGCACATCTCAGGGGTAGGGGTAGGGTTCGCACGCGACGTGCGAACCCTACCCCCTACCCCCCACGATGTCCGAGGGGGAGGGTGGGGCTCACTTCGATCGGGAGCTCCCGCGCGAAGTTCACCCCACCCTGCCCCTCAGGACAACGGCCGCTGGGCGATCGGGGGCGGACGCCGTCCTCCCCCTCCTTCTCCTCCTCCTCCTCCCCTCCTCCTCCTCCTCCTCCACTCCTCCCGTCCTCCTCCTTCCTCCTCCTCCTCCTCCTCCTCCTCCTCCTCCTCTCCTACTTCTCCTCTCGTACCTCCTCGCCTCCCCCCCCCTCGACCCTCCTCCTCCTCCCTCCTCCTCCACCTCCTCCTCCTCTCCTCCTCCTCCTCCTCCTCCTCCCTCCTCCTCCTCCTCCTACTCTCCTCGTCCTCCTCGTCCTCCTCGTACCTCCTCCTCCTCCTACCTCCTCCTCTCTCCCTCCTCCTCCTCCTCCTCCTCCTCCTCCTCCTCCTCCTCCTCCTCCTCCTCCTCCTCCTCCTCCTCCCCCTCCCCCCTCGAAACTCGTGGTGGGGGTAGGGAGTAGGGCTCGCGCGCGGCCCCCTGCGTGGGGGAGGGCGCGGGGCGCGAGCGTGCGGCGCCCGCCCCGCCCCCCTCCCCCCCCCCCGCGCGCGCCCGCGCCCGCCAGGAGCAGCGCCGACCGGGCGCCGCCCGCCCCTCCGCCTCTCGCGCCTCCCGTCTTCCTTGAAGGGGCCCCAGGACACAGAGATACATACACACAAACAAAAGGATGACCCACATTTTCCCATATTTTTTCTGGGTGTTGTCTTCCCCCCCCCCACTTCCCATATCTTTCCACATTTTCTGGGGAATCGACGATTGATGGTGTCTGTGTGTTTTTTTCCATCCTGATTCCTGCCTGGCCAGCCTGGCGGCGCAGGTGGCTGCACTGCACCACCCAGGCCAGGGCAGTCCAGGCCTCCCTGGATAGGGTCGGAGCAGGTGGGGTCGGTGGATCGCGCCGCATCGCCGATGCAGCGCCGATGCGGCTCGATGTGGAGCCCGACGTTCTCCACGCCCACATCGTCGATGCATCGCCGACGTCGACGATGCATCGCTGGTGCATCGCCGATGCATCGCCGATGCATCGCCGATGCATCGTGTATCGGCGATGCGGCGCGCGATCTTCCGATCCCATCTAGGAGGCCTCTAAATAGCCAGAGCTGGTGCTCACACTTCGCCAACTCGACGCTCTGAGTTCCCCCTCCTTCTCCCTCAACTTCCTCCTCGCGTAAGCATTTCTCGGCGGGGGAAGGGCTCCTGGAAGGAGGCTGCGTCTTAGAAGGCGCCGGCCCTACATGTGTAGACAAGGCCCGCGCCTTCTAAGAAATAGGGTGTTGTAAGAAGCCTTGCCCCCTCCTCCTACCCGCTTCTGCGCGTGGCTGACTCTGGTCACTGAACACGGTCATCGAGACCTCGCACTATATGCCCACCATCCCCCTTCGGAGGCAACTCATGGAGCCTCCTATGCCAACTTGCTGGCTCTTGCACATTGACGCTCATCGACGCTAATCCGCCCTAACTCGCCGCTGATCGACGCTAAATCGGCGCTACCTCGTCGATTACCAGACGCCAGTCGGCGCTAGTGCAGTCTAGAGACATTGCGACGGTGCGGAACAATTAGTGGACACTCCCCCGCTCACCCAAACTCAGAGTTGGCACGCGCGGGGGAGACTGCGGTCGAAGTGGAACTCATCAGGCCCATCGCCCACCCTTGAACACTAGGCGGAGGAGGAGGCGTGGACCGACGAGTGTGGCCTGCGTGTTCGCAATTTGTTGTCCGAAGCCTGTATGCAAGGCTCCCGTGACCTACTGTCGAAACCTCCCCCCAAGAGGGTCGTTAGGGGCTTGACAACTCCTGACGTCCCTCGACTCGCGCTGGAGCGGTCGCGAGTTGCTCCAACTTTCCCTCGAGATCTCTGGATGTACCTGGACTTGCCCAGACTTGCCTGGAGCTGCCTCGATCCACCTGCACTTGACTGGCTCGACCTGGCCCGACCCCCACCGAGGCGCCTGGCGACAAGGCCTCAAGCCCTTCGGGAGAGGGCCCGACGCCCCACGGGCGAGGCGCCGCGGGGCCCCCGCGGGCGCACCCCTCCTCCTCCCCCTCTACTCCCTCCTCCTCCTCCTCCGTCCCTCCTCAGTACCTCTCCTCTCCTCCGCCTCTCCCTCATCCTCCTCCTCATCCGCCCCCTCCTCCCCCCTCCACCCCAATCCCCCCCGCCCCCCCCCCCCAATGCCCCTCCCTCTGATTTTTCCCAATCCACAATTACACAATATGAAAATACTCTCCCACTTCCCCTGATGGCGTCCCGAAGATATCCGACCCCCCCCGCGTACTGTTTTTTTACACACAGGATTCCCGGGAAACGGGTTTTCGCCTGCGTTTTTTTCAAAATGCTGCTCTCGCTGAGGCGCCGGCCTCATTTCTGATCCCGAATCGTTCCGAATCGTGCTCCCGCTGCAGCGTGGGCCTCATTTTCGGATCGGTGTTTGGCCTCCGTCGTTCAGGATGGCGTTCTCGCCCCAGCGCGGGCCTCTTTCTCGCGCGCCCATCCGCCCGCCACCACCGCGCCGCACCAACACCACCACCACCACCACCACCACCATCACAACCACCACCAGCACCACCACCACCACAACCACCAGCACCACCACCACCACCACCACAACCACCACCACCACCACCACCACCACCACCACACAACCACCACGCCACGGCACGCACGCACGCACGCACGCACGCACGACACGCGCACCACCACCACTACGCACGCGCGCCGCGGAGCACAAGTCCGCTACGAACAAGCGTCGCGGATAGAGAAATCAGCGCCATGGAAGGGAGGGGGGAGGGTATGACGTAGATATGACGCGAGCGCAACTAGATTGCCCTCCCCCCTCCCATCCCTCCCCCACCCCCCCCCTGCCCCACCCACCCCCCCCCCCCCTTGGCGCCCGGCGCGCGGCCGAGCGCGCGCGACGCGGCCCGCGCGAGCGGGGCCCCAGGCCTCCGAGGCCTCCCCCCTGCCCCCTCTCGGCGGCTGCGCGCAGGACGTGGCCCCTGGGCAGGAGCGACCACTGGTGCGCGGCGCTGTTGTATAGATAGGGCGAGGGAGGAGGAGGAGGAGGAGGAGGAGTAGGAGGAGGAGAAGGAGGAGGAGGAGGAGGAGGAGGACGAGGAGGAGGAGGAGGAGGAGGAGAAGGAGGAGGAGGAGGAGGAGGAGGGGTCGCCTAAGCCCTTCGGAAGGAGGACGAAGCCCTTCGACGAGACCCTCCGGCCGCCGTGGGCAGAGAATCCTCCCCCCCTGTTGTCATCGCCCCGACGAGCGAGGCAATCCGGGGAACGCATCCAAAAGGGAGGAATCGACCGTGGCAGGGCTGTTTCAGGAACGCCCAGAGCCGTTCCATCGACGTCAGTAGGAAGGCACCTACTATACACCAACACCGATCCTGGCCAGGATTACCCTGGGCCCAGGATCGGTGTACACGCCCTCCTGCCGTGGGCAAGAAGGCATATACACCGATCCTGGGCCCAGGGTGATCCTGGGCCAGGATCGGTGTTGGTGTATTGTTGGTGCCCTCCGAGTCGGTCGTCGGGTCCGGGTGGCTTTTCCTCCCTTGGGCTCTGGGGACCGCGAGGGGACCAAACACCACCGCGCACGACGCTGCTATCGCACCGCGCTCGGTCAGAGGCCTCCTAGATGAGGTCCGAGCAGATGGGGTCGGAGGACCGCGCTGCATCGCCAATGCATCGGCGACGTATCGGCGATGCATCGGCGGTGCACATCTTCGTCGGCTTAACCGGCGAGGCGTTTGACCATCTTGACGTCCAATTCGGTAGCCCTGCAGAAGAAGGCGATCTCTGACCCTCGGCCCTCCTCAAAGTAAGAGTGACCATTGGTGCGCGGCTTTTCGGGAACC